GATGGTGCCTGGAGCCCTGGGGACGTCTTCCTAGAGATGTGAAGGCCTGGGGAAAAACCCAGGAAAAAATCGGAAAAAAACAGGGGTTTGTTTTTTTTCCGAAAAATTGAAAAAATTGAAAAAAGAAAAGAAAAAAATTGATTATGGAATGTTTTATTTTAACATGATGAATAAAATATTTTAAGACAAGGTGTTCAAATATGTTCCAAATCATTTCTAAAAAATACGTACGGTATCAGATTGATCTAATTTCCCTGCACTGAGGACAAGCGAGTCCTAGGTTACAAACTGAACTCTCCAATGCAAGAACAAGATGCATTTCTTCCTTTAGGAGGCGCTATTGTCACAAGCAGGAAAAGAAGGAGGTTTCAGTTTTGTTTTTGCATGTGGGTGGGCATTCTGTTTGTAATAACTGTTTGGCTACACTATATTTTTAATATCCTCGTTGTGATAATTTCATGCCAAGTAAAAATGGTCCACAGTCATATTTTATGTTCCTAAAGTAACAGAATGACGTTCAATCGGGAAAAGAAAAAAGAAGTGCTAATGTAGCATTTTTTTCAATGTTTCCGAAAATTTCCGGTTTTCCCCGGGGGGAAAAACGGTGTTTTTTCCCGAGCTTCAAAATTTCTGGAAATTTTACATCTCTACGTCTTCCACGGACCAGGCCAAGCCCCATCTGCTCTGCAATCCACACACTGGCACTCCCATTGAACCACCATGTGGGAAAGGGGCCATAGCCGTTCTCGTGTCGGAACCTCGTGGGGACGCTCTCAGAAGACGACTTTGTCCTATGGATGGGAATGAGCCTTCAGCATCCCGTCAGCTGTGCACTGACCAACCAACCTGATGGCTGGCCCTTGGGCAGATGGGAGCTCTCCAGCCCAGGGTCCCTGACCTCAGTTCTGGGATGTGGGGCTGGAGGTGAGCGTGGTAAAGCTGGAAGTGGACAGGCAAAAGCCAAAAAGGCCGCTAGAATGGGCACCAGAGGTCCCTGCTGCCTGGCAGTCCCAGGGGCTGATGTCACACACCCCTCTGAGAACACCTCTGCCCCAGGAACTCACCAGGCTAAGACTACCATATCCGCAGTAGTGGAATTCCCCACGTCGACGTTTTTAAAACCGCACGTCATGTGGAATCTTCCGCAGTCGATTTTTCCTCAGCAGGCACAAACCCGAAGCATTCTCCTTCTCATCCCGCGTTTTTGGAACTCGCTAAAACCGGGGATTCCGAAAACGCGGGGTAAGAAGGAGAAAACTTCGGCTTTGCGCCTGGTGGGGGGAGATCCACTGTGGAAAATTTCATCTAATGCGCAGTTTTTAAAATGTCAATGTGGGGAGTTTCACTGCCGCGGAGAGGGTCGAAGCCTCGCCCTCCTGCTGGCCATTCACACTTCGCCAGCGGCTGCGCACCGAAGGCAGCAGTGCAAACGGGCTCCTGATCAGTGTTCCCTCTAAGCTGAGTGAGTGTGAGCGAGCTCACAGTTTTTTAGCCTCCTGCTCACACGTTTTTGCCTTCACTCAGGGTGGATGGCTCCAGAACAAACTAATTGATGCAGGAGCCAAATTGCTCGCTCACAACTTTAACGCCAGCAGCTCACAAAGTAGAATTTTTGCTCACAAGACTCCACAGCTTAGAGGGAACATTGATGCACAAGGCAGGATCGACTGCTGAGACTTTGGCACGATGGTCACCTGCAAGGCCCACCACAGGCTGAGCGCCCTCACACAGCCTCGTTCCACGCGACTAGCCGCAACCGGCGG